GTTTTTTTTAAAAGGTTTGGCCTTGCCCGTTTCCCATTAACAGGGCGGCGTTGTGGAATTCTGAGACGAGTTTTTTAATTTTTTTGGTGGGGTTTTCAAGGTGCGATTGGTGAGGAGAGGGGTTTTTAATTTACCTTGCCCCGGGGTGGTTGGGGGTTTGTGGATTGGGGGGAAATTAAAATTGTTTTTTTCTTAAATGGGGTTTTGCGCAATTTTGGGGTGGAGGGCAGGGGGGAAAATTAAAATTTTAGGTGGGTAAGTTGTAGGTGGTGTGGATTTGGGGGAAGTGAAACTATTTTGGGCTTTGAGTTGGTTAGAGAACCCAGGAAAATTCGAGAGGGGTTTGTGAACTGCTTGCAGACAGATTGTTAACCATTAGGGATTGTTCCCCCAGTACCATGGACGAGTATTGGTAAGGTTTAGCAGTTAAAGTTAAAGCCTGGGAAAGGGGAGGAAATTTATCGTTTTTTGCATGGCAACACCGTCGGGGAGGTTTAAGAACGGGGGGTAATTGGGGCGAAGGTGTGGAATCGTGGGGAGGATGAGAGGGCTTTCCCATGCTGTATACTTTTGTGGGAACTGGGGGGTTTAGGTATTGGTTTAATAGGGTATACGGGGGGGGGGGCGAGGGGTGGGTTTCGGCACAAAGCCTAGAGGGGGAGGGTTCAAATTTTTATACGAGCTTTGGATTATATAATAGGGGAAAATATATATAATCGTGGTGTGAGGGGGGGGGAATTGTAGGTCGGGGGGGGTATAGCGGAAAGGGTTATCGTACGATGTGTCGAAATAAAACTGTATGGGAGGAGGTGGAGAAGGATTTTTTTGGGGGGTTTAAATTAATTTTAACGTTAGGTTTTCTCTCAATCAAAGGGCTGGGTGATGAAAAGGGGGGGGGGGGGTTGGGGATTACATAGGGGAAGGGGTTTTTCAGGGGGACACGCGGGTCCCTCCTGGGGGGGGGGTGAGTGTGGGTGAGGGGGTTTAATGTAGAGGGTGGCATACATTTGTACAGCAAGTGGGGACAGAAAAACCCAAAAATGATATCAAAAATTACGTATACCTGAATGGAAAATTCTGTGTTTGATGTGTCAGGGGCGTCAACCCTTTATGAATTAAGTGTGAATGTGTCAAGTTTTTTTAAGACCGTGAAAAGCTTTAGGGTTAGTAGAGTGTGGTTTTTGCCTTTATTGGGCATAAATCATGGCGAAAAATTTATCCAATGAAGGTTATTAAAAAATGTTTGTGTTGATGTTGTGGGTTTTTTTGCGAGTGTATGTCTTTATTTTAGCATTTTAAATTCTCATCCAGTTGCTCTGATGGAACGAAATGACTTCCCAAAAATTTGTAATGCCTCGTTA